TTTTAGTTTACGTAAGACTGTTTGTTGAGGAAGATGTTGAACGCGAGTCACTTTTATGAACATCATTTTACAGGTAATTTTACAAACTGCCGAAAACTTTGGGGCCTTTGCCGAACACCCTTTGAACATAGACCCACTTAACCCCAAAAGTTTTTTCACAAAACGTCCAAAACTCCCAAAAAAAAAAGAAATCTTTGGACTATGCTATTTCCATTTAACCCCAAAAACCTTTTATGTTCAAACCCCCAAAACCCCAAGAATCTCAACAACGTCAAACCCCAAGTTCCAACTTTTTCTAACCCCCAACAAAAAGTAGACCTAGTACAATATTGTAGCAATCTGAAGATTGGCAAAATATCTTCTTCTGTAAATAGTCCTAGAAAATATTTGATTGATCAACCTCCAGTAACCTGCCACCAGACTCCAGCCAAAAGGTTGACTCCACTTTCTTTATGACATGACAGGGATCAATAAATGAGGAGAATCTATTCTATGACATGACAGGGATCAATAAATGAGGAGTCTCTGTTCCATTAAGTACTTACCTCTCCCTTTGCAATCTCCCCTTCTTAGTTAGAGAATCCAAAGAGTTGTTTATACTGTAGTGAATACTATTGAATAATATTGAATAAACAGTAAAGCAACTCTGGTCCTCCACACTCGAAGATACTGTTTACAACAGTGATTTACTGTAGGATAATCAGTAAATCAAATCTGCTCTTCCATTTTTGATATTACTATTCATACTACAATATTTTACTGTATCATAAACAATAAAATAAATCAAATGTATTAAAACTTAAATCTTTTTTTAAGTATAGAGGAATAGATATGATTTCTAAATCAAATGTATTAAAATTTAAATATTTTTTTAAGTATAGAGAAGTAGATATGATTTCTAATTTTAAACATACAATAATTAAATTAAGGGAAAAATGCTTCCAGCCCCCAAAAGCCAAGTGACCATGCTTCCCACCCCCAGGACTTGGTCAATGCGCGTTTTACCCCTAAAAATAAAGAATCTGTTCTCTGAGCCCCCAAAACACAAAACTCAAGACATTAAAACATGTGAAGACCATAATACCCTTCTCTCTCTCTTTCTTTTTTTATTAAAATATGATGGGGATTATTTTATTTATTTTGTTTTCTCTCTCTCTTTATCATGATGTACCAAGAGGATAGTTAAAATGATTGATGAGGATTATTTTATTATTTTTGTTTTTTATTATTTTGGTTGTTTGTATTGGGAGGTTGTTAAGGTTACGGGTTGATTGTTAAGGTTACAGGTTGGTTGTTAAGGTTAAGGGTTTGTTGTTAAGGTTATGAATCCTCTCTCTCTCTCTTTCTTTTTTTATTAAAATATGATGGGGATTATTTTATTATTTTTGTTTTCTCTCTCTCTTTATCATGATGTACCAAGAGGATAGTTGAAATGATTGATGAGGATTATTTTATTATTTTCGTTTTTTATTATTTTGGTTGTTTGTATTGGGAGGTTGTTAAAGTTACGGGTTGATTGTTAAGGTTACGGGTTGGTTGTTAAGGTTAATGGTTTGTTGTTAAGGTTATGAATCCTCTCTCTCTCTCTCTTTCTTTTTTATTAAAATATGATGGGGATTATTTTATTATTTTTGTTTTCTCTCTCTCTTTATCATGATGTACCAAGAGGATAGTTGAAATGATTGATGAGGATTATTTTATTATTTTCGGTTTTTATTATTTTGGTTGTTTGTATTGGGAGGTTGTTAAAGTTACGGGTTGATTGTTAAGGTTACGGGTTGGTTGTTAAGGTTAAGGGTTTGTTGTTAAGGTTATGAATCCTCTCTCTCTCTCTTTCTTTTTTTATTAAAATATGATGGGGATTATTTTATTATTTTTGTTTTCTCTCTCTCTTTATCATGATGTACCAAGAGGATAGTTGAAATGATTGATGAGAATTATTTTATTATTTTTTTTTTATTAACCTTAACAATTAAACCCGTAACCTTAACAATTAAACACGTAACCTTAACAATTAAACCCGTAACCTTAACAACAAATCCGTAACATACACAACAAACACATAACCTTAACAACAAACCCTTAACCTTAACAACCAACCCGTAACCTTAACAATCAATGCATAACCTTTACAACCAACCATTATCATTAACAACGAATATTCTAACAATACAAAAAGAATAAAAAACAAAAATAATAAAATAATAATCATCTTTAATCATTTCATATCATCAAAGAAACATCATGATAGAGAGAGAGAGAGAGAGAGAGGATTCACAACCTTAACTAGGGCTGGGCGTATTCGGTTCGGTTCGGTTTTAAGCCCAATCCGCATCCAATCCGAATTTTTCGGATTCTCAAAACTCTCATCCAGATCCAGATTTTTTTTCCTTCATCCGAATATTCAGCCCAACCGAAATTCGGTTCGGTTCGGTTCGGTTTCGGTTTTGAACCGAATTAACTCCATTTCACAAAAATCTGGGTAAGTTTTAGTTATATCCAAAACTGAAAAGAAGCAATCAAAACTGAAAAGAAACAATCAAAATTGTACTAAGCCACTTAATCAAATTGTATGATCTGAATATAACTAGCTTAATACACTAGGAGGACCATGTAATTGTGTAGCCTTTTTTAGAGAAAGAACAATGTTTGGCAGGCACACACACCTTTTGATGATTTGCGTTAATTTTTAGCTGCCTTTTTCTCATCAAGAATTGTCTTATATCCTTGACAGCCTATACTATAGGTTAATTTGATATCCAGCACCAGCAAGCTGTATTCATGTTATCACTGAAATTTGACCAAAACACTAAATTTATCCTTCAACCTCAACATCTTGTATTGATTTACGGAAATCTCACTTAACTATATCAGCGTACTCAAATATATGTTAGTATAAACTCCACCCCACAATTCTTAAATGCTAAACATTCAGCCATAAATTTTCTTCACACCCAAGGCTCGCAGCTACTTTTTGTTTAAGAATTCGGTTCGGTTTTTTTTGGGCGGTTCAGGGGTTCAAACCGGATCCAGACCGGTTTAATTCGGTTCGGGCGGTTTAGAGACTTCTTCTCATCCATTTAATTCGGTTCGGTTAACCGATCCGTTTTTTCGGGCGGTTTTTTCGGTTGAACCGGTTTGTTTCGGTTTTTGCCCACCCCTAACCTTAACAACAAACTCTTAACCTTAACAACCAACCCGTAACCTTAACAATCAACCCGTAACTTTAACAACCTCCCAATACAAACAACCAAAATAATAAAAAACGAAAATAATAAAATAATCATCATCAATCATTTCAACTATCCTCTTGGTACATCATGATAAAGAGAGAGAGAAAACAAAAATAATAAAATAATCCCCATCATATTTTAATAAAAAAAAGAAAGAAAGAGAGATGATTCATAACCTTAACAACAAACCCTTAACCTTAACAACCAACCCCTAACCTTAACAATCAACCCGTAACTTTAACAACCTCCCAATACAAACAACCAAAATAATAAAAAACGAAAATAATAAAATAATCCTCATCAATCATTTCAACTATCCTCTTGGTACATCATGATAAAGAAATAGAGAAAACAAAAATAATAAAATATTTTAATAAAAAAAGAAAGAGAGAGAGAGAGGGGATTCATAACCTTAACAACAAGTCCTTAACCTTAACAACCAACCCGTAACCTTAACAATCAACCCGTAACTTTAACAACCTCCCAATACAAACAACGAAAAATAATAAAAAACAAAAATAATAAAATAATCCTCATCAATCATTTCAACTATCCTCTTGGTACATCATGATAAAAAGAGAGAGAGAGAAAAATAATAAAATAATCATCATCATATTTTAATAAAAAAAAAGAAAGAGAGAGAAGGGTATTATGTTCTTCACATGTTTTAATGTCTTGGGTTTTGTGTTTTGGGGCTCAGATAACACAATCTTTATTTTTAGGAGTAAAACACTCATTGACCAAGTCTTGGGGGTGGGAAGCACGTTCACTTGGCTTTTGGGGGCTGGAAGCATTTTTCCTTTAAATCAAATGTATTAAAACTTAGCGGGAAACAAGTTTAAAATATAGTGCTTAAAAAAATAGGAGTCCAGTGTTTTGCACGGAGCACGAACACTAGTGAAGAATAATGAGAGGAACTCATTGTACCTCACTGACGTAACTGTTGATGTTTATATGCCATATTAAGCAGCACAGAATCATATAAAAGACAGAATAAGCAAAACTTTCACAAAGGCATAAGCAAAGATAACCTTGATCCATTATAATCTTCTCCTTAAATTTAATAATATAGTTTCTTTCTGTTTGGAATGAACACGTCTATAGTTTCAACATCGGTGTGTCATATTAAGCAGCAAAATCGAACACACTGATGACCACTATATACCCGTTAGTCTGAGCGAATGTTATCAAATGCCAAGATCCTCAATGACGAGCTTAGTCATGAGTCAGTCATGACTCATGGCACAAAGTCTTGCGAGTCTGAGTCATCAGTTCTTCGAGCAGCCTCCAGTTTATCTATACTGCGTGTTCTCTTGCTCATGTGTGCACGTTGTAGTAATCGTACTAATGCTTGCACAACTTCCGACATGGGCGGCCTGAATTCCGGCTCCACCTACACAAAATACATTTTTTGAAGGTAAGATGATAAAAAAAGGTTTGGGGGTAAATTTCATGAAGGGTTAATTATGGATCGACCCCTTGTACTTATTACCCAACTGCATATATGACCCCCCCCCCCCCTTAGTTCTATTGGTGTGGATAACACTGAATTAATTGTCCAAAGTTGAAGATAGACTCCTGGGTCGAGGAAAGTTCACTCAGGGGGCTATCTGCACAAGTAGAACTAAATGGAGTCTACGTGCACTTGGGCTATAAAACAAGAGAGGGCGGGGGGGGGGGGGGGGGGGGGGGAGGGGGGGCTATCAGCAATTATCCCTTGAAAACTAACATGAACTGCTCAGGATTTTGCAGGAAGATATACTAAACTGTTTTTATATATATAGAAAACCACCGCGAACCTTTTTGAATAAACTACTACCCTCACCATCATTAGTAAACTTATCACATGTTAAGCCAATGACTTTCTTGGACAGTTTAACCCTCAATTAGTTTATGTGACTGTGATCCTCTCATCTCCATTCCTAGTAACCTAAATTATACACAGGGATAGTCGAGTCCTTTTAACTTATCCAAAGATTTGCTAAATGATCATAAGTGTCATAAACACAAGTCCGATGTTTTCCTTGAAATACCTAATCTATTAGCTTTAAATTAACAACCACATGATTAAGAGAATTATATAATTCCATATGCAGAAGTTACCTGAACACAAAGAGCAATGACATCAGCAAACCTCGAAAGTGCTTTAGCAGGATACAGTCCCTCCAAGGCAGGGTCAACCATCTTATCTAGTGCATCAATATCATGCAGTTGTGGAAATGCCCATCGAACCAAAGACTGCTCTGATCTTGGTCTTGAGCTGTTAACAATTCAATAGGATAGTAGAAGAGGATGAAGATGGTGATGATCAATGTGTGCCCTAGCGGTTGATTCTACAGAGGAAGTAGCTATCAATGAAAAATTCAACCACACGGGTGTGTTTTCACCTGTCAAAAGGCTTTCTTCCAGTTAAAAGCTCGAGCATGACAACCCCAAAGCTGTAAACATCGCTCTTGAGAGTATACTGACCGGACATAGCAACCTCAGGTGCTGTGTATCCGGAGCCCATGTTGTTATCCAAGGCCTGTAATATTCTTGCAAATAATTTGTAAAATGAAAACACAAGATTTTTAATGCAGAAAGAGAGCAAAGATGTCTGTTGATAGGACTGCAATTAAAGTGTGCAAAAGAAAAGGTAAGATGGTTTGTTTAAATTTGTTGTCTTATATCTACATGAGTCCCACTAGGGGCACACCATGAACCACACTCTCAACCACACCCCTACACTCTCTATAGTGCTAGTGGGCCATGCATGATATTTTTTTTAAAATATCATGCATGGCCCTCTAGCACTATAGAGAGTCTTGGGGTGTGGTTAAGAGTGTGGTTCATGGTGTGTACCCCTAGCATTATTTTATCTACATAATCACGTTAGATATATGTTTCCAGGCTGCAAAGAGTAACTAAAGGCTCTGCATGTCAAGTTCTCAAATACTTCAGAAAGGTCAAAACTTATTTCAGACTAATTAACAGAAAATAAACGATTTAAGAATTCATAATCGACCTTTTGTCAGAAAATTCCATTCAAATTGTTTTTTTTGGAAACTTACTATTCTATGGTTTTAGATTAATGACCTAAGAACCGAAAGAAGTTTCTGAGTTTTTTTGTTGTGATAATATGAGCATGATATACCTGATAATCCAAATCTGGGACAAAGCTTGCCAATCCACATTCAGAAAGGTGAGGATTAAACTCGACATCAAGCAAAATGTTGGATGATTTGAAGTTCTTGTGAACTATAGATGGTGAGCAAACTTCATGTAGATACCTGAAAGTAAGCATATGATCAGGTAACTATAGAAAATCTCATTCTTTATCTGCTCAATGTCTCAGTTTAACTTTAATGCATGCAAAGGAAGGAGACTAATCCACTGACAATAAGAGAATACTAGACGAAGTTTTTTTTTTTTACTCCGAACTTACGATATACAGAAAAATAGTTTAAAAACCATTAATTTTGATTACTCTTAGTCAAGGTTTTCTATAGCAAGAGAAAGAAGAAGAAAACGATGAAGAATAATATTGAAGTATGTTGGCAAAATTTAGGATGATAAGTGAATTAGTTATGGTAGGATAACACAACTGCAACTAGCTCATTCTTTGGCATCCATTATTAGCATTCACAACCCTCACATATCAAGACTCTTCATCAAGAGGAATCTAGATCAGGAAGATTCCTAGAAGGATAAGTAATCTGTAACTTACTCAAGTGCCCGTGCACTGCCAAGAGCAATTTTGACACGTGCATTCCAAACCAATGGTTTGCTATATTCATCCATGAGGTGGAGGAGATCATGCAGCGAGCCATTCTTGTGAAACTCATAGGCCAGTAAGTGTTGACCATGCTCAGAGCAATAGCCAACTAGCTCGCTTATGTTTGGATGGTGCAAATGTGAGATATTTGAAACCACTTCGATAAAGTTCTCTGTTGATTGGTTTGGCATGCCAAACAAATTTATTTTCTTCACAGCTAGTACCTGTTCATAAGAATAATAGCCATCACAATTAGTGTTCTGAAAATGATTCCAACTGAAGGAATTTAACAATATGCTTAGTAAGGAAGAATTAGCATAAACTGAAGGAGCACGAAGATGGACCTGTAACAAATTGCTGACGGACACAAGTTCATGGATTATGTATACATCCTTAATTCCTCATCCAAAGAATTCATGAATTATGTCATTGCTGTAGAGTTTGTGCTACAACACTGACTCTTAGTCATGTTATGATCTGCTTGGGTAATTTAATACATTTAACACGACAAAGTAGAGCTTCTTGATTTTACGGGAAAAATTCCCATTACAACTTCATGATTTATCCTATTCCCGTTGCATGAAGCAGGTCTTGGTCTCAGAGAGCAAGTTCATTATGAAAAAACTACTTTTACAGTAAAAGCAGAATGAAGGGAACAAAAAGCCAACTTAAAGAGAAACCTACCTTTCCATCGTTGAAATTTGCTCTATAAACACGCCCAATAGACCCTTCACCCACATAACTGTCAATGCTGAAGCTATCAGTAGCCATTTGAAGATCTGCTACTGAGTAGAAAGTTGCTTTTATGACAGGTGCATTAGGTTTCTTGACTGCAGGCTTGTGCTCGTTGTAATCAATAGATTTTTGTTGGTCAGCAGGGGGAGGTTTGAGAGTAGTAGGAGCAGATGATTGAAATGTACCCAAGTTATTAGCAGGAGAAAACTGGATGGGCTTCATTTCTACAATAGAAAAAAGTTTCAGCAGATAAGAAAAAAATATTAAATTGACTTGCCTAATGGAAAATTATGGAAGTTGCGGCATTAAACAAAGCGTATGGCAACATGGTGTAAAATATGAATAACTGAAATTGTGATTTGGTAGTATTTACTTTGAACTGTAAGAATGAAAAGTGGATCTTCATGATCCTCACAAATGAAACAACGTTGTTTTATGTTTTTGAGATGCAAAACAATTTTTGCATAAATTCTCATAATCCAGTGTGGAGAAATGGAGCTGCCTTGGATACTAAAAAAACATTGGTGCTAAAATCCATCATAATAAATCAACTACAATAAGAAAAACAATGAAGATGTCCACAAACTAAAATATTGAGAACGCCTTGCACTTGTATATGTATTCATAGTCTGTGCACGTTTGGGTAAAACAGATATTACCACAAAGTACTAATAATCACAAGCAGCACACAAAAATTGGTACCATATCATATATTTCGGTATTTGGATATTTGATGGACTCTCATATAGTACTATTATGATGTATGTAAAATTGATATGGTATTCTATACAATATAAAGACATAGAGATGCATTCGAGACCAAGAAGCTGAAAACTAAAGTTCATTAAGTCCACTTTTTTAAATAAAAATTACGATTATTATCATAACTAGCGATTTATATATCTTGGAAACTTTTTATATAACTTATTCATGTGTTTCTTTAGCTATTATATAGCCTTACAAATCTATGTTATATAGCATTACAAATCTATGTAATAAATAACTAATGCTAATTTACACATAATTTGCTGTTGTGGATGTTTAAAATCCCAAAATTCACCAAATGTAGGATCCTTGGTTTGATAGGCATACCAATTAAGCTTACTCAGAAACTACTACATATCTACTTTAAAAAATTCTGCACAGAAAATAATTTAATCCATATTGTTTTTCATCACAGTGGGTTGCAGACATTCACCTTCATGAATATATAACCTAAAAGTATACCGATGTATATAGTCTAAGACAAATGATAAGTTGACACTTAAATTACCTTTAAATATATTTGAAGCTGGATTTGTCGCAGAGTCGCTGTGCTCTAGCTTTTTTCCATTCGCAGGAGTTCTTAAGTGCTTTTTTCTTACAAGGAGGAAAGCAATTATTGCACCAACAAACAATATGGAAATAATAATTCCTGCTATACCTCCAGCACCAATACCAGAAGTTTTCTTCTCATTGCTGTCATCATTAGCCGGTCTTTTACTGATACCACCAGATCTATGACCAGGGCTTGTTCGTCGATTTGATGGAGGTGCACCAGGTGGTGGTGGAGGTGAAGGTCCTGAGCTCCATGAGTTACCATCAGTCCTTGATTTTAAATTTAACAAGTCAGTTACCAAATATAGTCAGTAGTGAACTAAACGACATGAGCATCTCTGTCAAGTACTTACTGAAGGTTATGTATCCCTTTTAACTGGTCAGGAATCCATCCGGAGAAATGGTTATTTGCAACATTCCTATAATCATAAATCAAATTGTCATAAGTTTTATATTAATTATCTTCGTAAGACAGACGTATTGCAAATATATCAAAAATTCTTAACTTACAAATCCTCAAGAGGGAGGTTGGCAAGGCAATTTATGGTACCCGTAAATTGGTTGTTTTGCAAATATCTGCATTACGATACATAAACAGCTGAGAGTGATATAAAGATACAAATCTATATTAACGAGTATTACTTTTCATAATTCCTTACAGTTTTGTCAAACTTGAAAGATTGCCAAAACTTTCTGGAAGGTCACCTGTAAGAGAATTGAAAGAGAGGTCCCTGCCAATATATATAATAAAATGATAAAATAATAGAAGATACTCAAGGATACAGAAACAAAAATCAAGGAATCAAACAAAATGTCTGAGAGAGCTAAATTATTAAAAGAGCAAAAGAATGGGAAAACTCTCAGATTCAATATCTTAAAATAACTAATAATATGCAGCACTAATTTCCTGAATTTTGTAAACAACAAATAATTGCTACTAAAGAAAATATTACAGATGCCAAATTTCATATTTAATACTTGCTCATGAATGTTGCTGATGACTAAAGTTGACCAAGAAATGGTATCATAAATCGCATTCAATCAATATTAGTTCGACATGAAACGCTGTATTCAGTGAGGAACTATGCACAAATTTTACTTACAATGTGGAGAGATTGGTAAGCTTTGCAAAAATATCATTCAGATCGCCCTGGAGTTGATTATGATTGAGATTTCTACAATCATCAATACTTCATATCAGTCCAAATTGTGCAAACTTAATGTACGATAAGGGGAATCGATAACTCATAAGCCAATTACAAGTATTTAAGAGAAACCATCAGCGAGATTGAGTAAGGAATGCCTTGTCCGAATGCATTTCCAGCAAGATTTCTGCAAAACAATCTCTTGTGAGACATCCACAGCCATATGAAAATCCAAAACCGAGTACATTTTATTATAACTTACAGGCTCTGCAGATTTGGAGGAAGGTTATATGGCATTTCGCTCCCCCCTCCAAGATTGTTATTGCTCAAGTCACTATCAGCAAATAAAATGATCAGCATTCGTATAAAGTGTAGGACTAAGAGGAATATTTTATATGAGAACCACAGGACTGAGGACTTACAGCTCAATCAATGAGGTCATGCTGGGCAGCATGTAACCTAATGACCCACTAAGTTCAAGACCTGGTAATTTGCTGGTAGAGCCATTAATATACAAGATTTTGTCAGTTACCTTAGTAATCAACTAATTGAGATAGAAAAATGCACAAAAGTGAGGCTCACATTCTGGTAACTGCTGAACCTGAGCATGTAATTCCTTTTCCGACGATTGGTCACAGGGGTCGCCACCATTTGAGGTCCAACCAGTTAGTTGTGGTGGTGAATTCAAGCAGGTATACAAAACATTGAGGGCCGATACTGCAAGCGGAAAGAGAACATGAGAAAGAATCGGGACAGAATCACTTCTGAATTGATATAATAACAACAAAACAACATAATTCCCGACACAAGCGGTACTTGAGTTAGAAACCTCTTGCACATTGCAAAGAGATTTTACCATTGTTCTAAGATGGCACGTGCAGATCAATCAATAGAAGCTGATTTCGGTATTGATTGATCAATTCAATTTCACCATTTTTTTCTCTCTTCGTGGAGAATAATACAATATTACTAGTCATCAGATATTCTAATAACTGTTAGACAGGAGCCAATCATCTGCACTGGGACGGTAGGCCCCCAGTTACTGATGTCTGAGAGTATAACTACTGCGTGTAGCAATTGATTTAGCACAATATAAATCATATCTTTTTTAATATCTAATTATCTGCAAAAGACATCAGAATCAAAACTCTACAAGGCTAATCATTCTTTTTAAAAAAAGGCTTAAAATACCTGACATCAACAGTCTTATTAAATTCCTCCCTACGCATTTAATTTATCATTTCACCAACACTACTCCCCCAGTGACATCCTCTGAACTACAAAGTTTACCTCACAGTAAGTCTCCCAAAGATCAAATTTTTACCTCGAATACCCACTTTTCACTCAAAACCCGAAACAACCCACTTCCATTATCCAAAAAATTATCCATTAAAACCCCAAGACATCTACAAAAACAAACATTTTTACAGCTTATAAAGAAAATTTAAACTTGCCCGAATCAAAAAAAAAAGGGAAAAAATAAACAAGACCCTACATTGTGATTACCAGATTATACCCATACACTAATTTCTGAAAAAACAGGAAATTTTTTTTTGGAAGAATGAGTCTCAAGCATCTTTAGCTCTCACCATCAGATGGGACCGCAGCGCCATTAGCAGAGCTCGCAATCCAAACCCAAATGCAGCAAAAGAAAACCCAAATCACCATTCTCCCCCTCTCTTCCTCTTTTCTCTTTCTATGTTTTTCTTGTTTTTTTATATTTTTTGCCTGAGAATTTTTGGCTTATATGCTCACAAGAGTTCAGGAGATACTGGCACAACGAACGAAAATAGAATGCAGTGAGGACCAAATAACATTAAAAATCTCAGTGTCTCCTTTTTAGGATTTGAATGAATTTTTAAGGGTAAATTTCAGAAAACCCCGCGATTTTGGATAAAGTGAACTTTAGGGATGGCATAAAGCGCTTAAATGTTGAAGAGTTCCACAAAACCCCCTAGAGTTTTTTGAACTGGTAAACGAGATTTTATGTCAAGCTCTCGGTGAGCGAAAGTAGAATACAATATCATAATACAAATAAATATATATAATGGATTAATTGATATAAAAATGCAGACCTAAACCTCCTAAAGTTCGGTAAAAAAAAAAAATAATACATCTCGCTTAATTAGTTAAATTAACTTATAATATTCTCTTTATTGTTTATTTTGTTTTCTCTCCGTCGACAAATTCAAGAATAAAATATGCTTTAAAGTTTATTGAAAATTTTAGAGTATATTTGGCAAGCTTTTTAAAACAGACGGGGCTAAACTAGGGCCAGTTTTGAGTGTTTTGTGTTTGCTAAAAAATAAAGCTGGAGTTGGCCTAGATTTTTATAGGCCAAAATTTAGTCGTTAATCTGGTTCTAGTTTGGACCATCTCTCCTTTAATCCGAAGTAGCACCAATTCAGGCTAGAACTCAATCTTGAATCAATTTTGGGTGAGTTGCCAAAAACACCCTTAAAGTCCAGGGGGATCATTGTGAAACCGCAAAAGTTCAAGGGACTTTGTCTAATTTTTAAAGGTCATGATAGCTCTGAGCAAATCACCCCAAGTTCAGGCGCATTTTGTGAAATACCCAATATTTATTGAGAGGGTTAAGGAGCATTGTACCCCTATTGAAAAGCTGTCGAGCTTTACTTTTTCGCGAGAATGATGGGCGATAAATTATAGAAAATTTAAGGGAGGGGAAATGTGCATTTCTGACCGTTGAGAGGTGATCAGAGAATTTCTGACCGTTGGATTTGTGACAGGGATTTAGGGGTTGACGAAATTATTACAGGAAGAAAGTGAGGATACAGTGAACCATGGTGTACTTTGTATGGTGAGGATTTATAGTGGTGGAGCCCACACCTATTAGTGCCAGATACAGTGCATTATATCTCTAATCAAAGAGGAAAGCGATGATCTAGATTTATTACGCCAATGATTGTAGCGGATCAAAGGATACTACCGATCCTCAAATTTACTTAAAAAAAATGATACGGGCACACCCACGGCATACCTCCAGCCACACCCTTAGCTACACTACAGAGGGCCCAAAAAAATCTCAAGGGGTCCCTTGTACTGTAGCTAAGAGGGGGTGGCCGGAGGCGTGCCCGAGGGTATGCCTGTAACGCCACCCAATTTACTAAGTTGTGTCCTGTGCGGCTATTTAACATGGTCAAATTATAGAAATAATCAAATATTACATGCAGAAAATTTCTCATGCAATATCTATTGGAGAAAGTTAATCTCAAATTTATTATTTGAACATCTATATATCTATTACAGAAAATATTTTACAAATATAATTCAATGCTTTGAATTGCTGCAAAAGCCATTGAGGTTGCATTTATTGCTACAGAAAATGTGTTTTATATTGCAGACCAAGTGCATGTTATCTTCAATCGTAATATGATCTATATTTTCTAAGCCATGTTTGGTAAAAAGTTAAGGAAGAGAGATTAAGAGAATAATTAACACAGTTAACCTACTTAATTGATATTCCGAATGACTAAATTAGTAACTAATTATAGAAGTTTTATTTTAGTCATTGTGATTATTTTTAGTGTTTGGGAATAATAAGGATTTTGACTATTTTCTTTATAATTAGAATGGTTAACTCTTAATCCTTCTAAATAGGAGTATTAGTAAACTCATTATTTTGATGGGTTAACTGATTTTAATTCCTCTAGGGGGGTTAGCTTAATCCTTTTATATTGTTTATGTTTGTCAAATTATGGAGGGTAACTCACTTTAACTCATGTATAGATTTTTTGTGTTTGGCAAGTTAAGAAGGGGTTAAGTCTCATTAACCCATCGCTTAATCCTTTGTCAAATGGTACCTAAGTTAATAGAATGAACTAAATTTGGGAGATAGGTTTTAGTTTTTTAATTAATAAAAGACATGCAGCATTTATAATAAAATTACGGCAATAAAATATTCATAGTGGTATTTTAATTCCACCCCATTTACCAAGAAGGTATTTTAATTAGGCAAACTTGCTTTAAGGCATTTTAATTGATTCAACTTACCAACAAGGACATTTTTCTCATCGGCAACCAGTTTTCCGGCGAGAACTCGTCACGTACGTGACACATGATGACTTAAACTGATTTTTAGCTGCTGATGTGGCACGGATCTGTCCTATTTTGGGTGAATTGGGATTTTTAGAGGGTTAATTCCTACCTTTAAACACCGTCACGTCAAAAAATATGTGCCACATCAGCAGCTAAAAAACAGTTTAAGTCATCATGTGTCACGCACGTGACGAGCTCTCGCCGGAAAACTGGTCGCCGATGAGAAAAATGGCCTTGTTGGTAAGTTAAATCAATTAAAATGCCTTAAAGCAAGTTTACCTAATTAAAATATCTTCTTGTTAAATGTGATGGAATTAAAATACCAATATGGATATTTAGCCCATATACTATATTTTCTTTATATAAAATGTAAATATAGAAAATCATGTCATCAACGTATGTGACAATTTTTTTGTTGACAGAGAATATTAGTCATGAGAGTCCTATGCTTGAGGAAGAGCCCAGGTTCAAACCATCCCAATTCCAAAAAAGTAATTTGGAATTATTAGATCCGTGAAGCAGTGAGCATATTAGCATATCCATCCTCCAACCAACATATTAACAGTTTACTCAAGCTCTTTTCAGCGCGCGCTCTTTCTATCTCTCCATATATAAAATTATTTATGATATCTACTCCTCTATATTTAAAAGAAAATCTAAAGAATTACTATCTATACTATAGTAAAATACTATATCGTGAACAGCACATCAGAGCGGGTCCTCTGCACTCGAAGTACTATTCATGCTATAATTTTTTACTGTAGCAAAACAGCAAATCAAATCTGCCCCTCCATACTTGGAGTTGCTATTCATGCTGCAGTGTTTACTGCATTATAAACAATAAAGCAAATGTGTTGTATTAAAACTTAGATCATTCTTTAAGTATAGAAGAGCAGATATGATTTCTAAATCAAATATATTAAAACTTAAATTATTTTTTACATATAGAGATTTTAATTTTAATCAAATCAAATGTATTAAAACTTAAATAGATGTAACTTCAAAATGCATTGTTTAAAAGAATAAGAGGGTTCAGCTTTGCACAAGGTGCGCACTAGTGTCCATAAGAAGAGGAAGGAAGGTGCAATAGTAACCCAAAGTGGAAAGGTGGGCTCACTATATTGGGCCTCATTTAGGCTAGCCCACAACAGACTACCTAGTGATAAGAGTCGCCTATTTTTATAAAGAAAAGGATAAATTTATCAGAGTTATTTCCTCTTTAAAATATTGGTGAAATCTCAAGTTACTCTTATCTATTTTTTTTATCGAAAGAAACAGGGAGAGATTCCATGTTCATATATATTTATATAAATCAAAAGATGATAGAATATACATTGTGACCAAAAAACCCAAGATAAAAAGAACCAGAAGAAGAATAGGTTGGAGAGGAGAGGACATTGTCGTCACTTTCCGAGCCTATTCTAAATTGTTTCCAATCATCCATGGATTAACAAAAAACCAAAAAAAAACCATACATAAACTAAAAAACCAGAAGAAAGAGTCTGCTGGGAATTGTTCGAAGAACTTCCCCTACTACCTTAGAACATATAAATACTACAAAAGTAGAATTCTTCTAAGATCTCAGAAGTTTTCTCGTACTGCATCCCTCGAAGTGACCTTTGCCAGCTCCTGAAGTTACTCGTATCTATATTACACATTGAACTATGTTTTTAATTTCAAAGTGGTCATTTTATGAGTCTACAATTAAATATTAAATGGATTAATGATGTACCCGTAACTTTTTATATTGCTTCCCAAGTTTTTTAATCAGTTTCACTAGTAGAAAAATGAGCATTGGCGACGGGGAAATCCGTCGCCAATGCAGCAAAATCCGTCACCAATACACTTTCGCGACGGGCGGAGTCCGTCACCAATAATCCTGTCGCCAATAAACATTGGCGACGGGGAAATCCGTCGCCAATGTTCATTGGCGACGGATAGGTATTGGCGACGGAAAACATTGGCGACGGGCTATAGCTCGTCGCCAATGTACATTGGCGACGGGAATACATCGGTGACGGACTCCACCCCGTCGCGAAAGTGTATTGGTGACGGATTTGTCCATGTCGCCAATGTACATTGGCGGCGGGTTTGTCCCCGTCGCCAATGTACATTAGCGACGAAAAATGCATGTCGCCAATGTACATTGGCGACAGGTGTATTCCCGTCGCCAATATACATTGGCGACGAAAAATGTCCGTCGCCAATGTACATAATCAGGTAAAAAAATTATTTCTGCATTGCAAATCCCCCTAATCGGGAATGCGTACCTGTTACTACCATTATTCACAATATATTAAACAATACTCACAATATCACATTTATCGATTCGCATCCAACAATATTCACGTTCACCGATTCACATTCAAAAATATTCACATTCACATCCAACAATACTAACATTTACATTCATCGATTCACATCCACAATATTAACATTTAACAATTCACATATATACATAATCAGGAGGTCATAAAATGTTCAACACAATCCAAAAGTCTACATAATCAGGAGGTCATAATATGTTTAACACAATCCAAAAGTCCACAAAAGTTACCAAAAAGTCTAACACATCACTCACTCATCATAGTCGTGGTCCCTATCGTCGTGATCCCTATCATCGGTGGCGGCTGCATCAGAATGCCGTACCGTACTGCTGCTTCCTACGACGGTACCTCCTCTAGCCTAAAAAGAATGTAAATCAATATGAGAATATATTCCAAAATACTCATAATAAATACATATATATAATATGACATATATACCTCTCCACCACTTGCAGCTACATGCTCATCAAATGCCAACACCATAATATCCGCGTATATAGACTGCGGAAGCAAGTCCTTTACGGGTTGAGAATCGATGAGTCGCTGAACGACATCCCAAGTCGTTTGTGCACCACTTAACTCGTGCTTAATAGTGGGAAGAAAACTTAAAGCCAATGGAATTTCAACATTCTTCATCAAGTATTTTCCAATCTTACCCACTACATATGACGTGTCATCGTGTCGCGTCGATGTCACAGATTGGCTGCTAGGCTTATTGGTGGTGGTGAGTGTCTTAACTCTAGTACTTGACAGAGGCACTCTTCCTTTCTTTCTTGAGTGTAAACCGTAAGCTCCATCGACAACTTCCATCCACTCGTCTCTGGTCATGCGGTTAGGCTCTACAGGAGTGTCCTCTGTACTTCGAGACTGCGTGACACGGGTGAAGACATCGTTTTGAGAAGCTTCCAGCGCCGCCTGCATATCATATATCATAAAAATTAGAAACTTTGATGAAAAATCATTAAGTATATACAAATCTAAAATTAATCTTATACTTACGTTCAATTCATTAATTTTCTCCACCTTTTTGTCATTTCCATCTACATTTTTATAGCCCTGGGGTGGTGTATAAGCTCTTTTAGCCAGAAGAGTCGGGGGGCATAGTCAAAACGTCCTGTGATATATTAAATTCCAAATTAAATGTAGGAAACTAATCACATGAAATCAGTTTTAATAATATGATCATACCGGGTTTTCGCTCAAATACTTATGCTCGATCTGAGCATAAGAAGTAACTCCTAAAAAGTGATCGTATAGCTTTGATCTACGATTCGCCAATGTCGTTTCACATATTTTCTACAAAATAAAGTATTTTTTAGTATGTGCGATGATAATATATAAATGAAAAATAACGTGATGATAATGTCATAAATTAAAAATAATCTACCTTCTTCTCACCCTCCCACTCGATAATGAGAGTCATCCAATTAAATGGAGGAACTCTCTTATCAAGCTCATAGATCCTCTTCCAATCAGTAGATAAATTTGTGAAATATCTTTTCTTTAGATCACTCTTCCAAACTCGAATAAGCTTGGCCATTTTTGGGATAACATAATCCCAAGACTCTGGGTTGTCTTCAAGACAATAATGATCCTGCAAGTTACATGGCAAAAAAATTACACTATAAGAATAATCATTGTGAATTGTAAACAAAATAAGCAGCAGTATATTAAATAATTACCATGAGCTTCTCCCAAATCTTTTTTATGCATTTAAATTCTTGCTCCTCAAAATTATGAGCAATATTAATGGAGCGTGGATCTCTTATTAAACAGCCAATCAAGTTATTAAATCTAACAGCCCAATGCCCAACAGGAATGTTGTCCTTCCACTCCAAAATGCCCCGGTACCCTTTCGGAGGTACTTTCGTCTTTTC